AGCTGACCAAACGATGCGGACGGATTTTTGATATTTTATTAATTTTTAGGATATCTTACTTTTTAAAATATTTTTTTAAATGTAAAAGTTTTTTTAGTATAACTTTGAAAGATTTTGAGAATTTTCAAAGCTGTTCATATCAACAGTACCTAAGGTCAATTCAAGTGTATAGGTTGATTTTCAGCATGATCTAACTATAGGGGGCACTATAAACAGGTATAATTTATACTGTTGAACTGGCTAAATGGATCTGCATGAAACTTTGTTGAACTGGCTAAATGGATCTGCATGAAACTTTGTGGTTGTCATCATTATACAGTCTTAAGACAAAAATATAAATACGGTAATGATCGATCAAAGTGTGCGTGGGTTACTATTGTTGAAAATTTCAAATTTGAAAAAATTCCTAAAAATCATTATTTGCATGTAAGAGGCAAAGATTTTTAGGTTTTGTTAACTGCATATAGGAGAGTTCATATCACGAAAATCGCAGCTCCGCGAAGAGGTTTGCTCTTTCTATGTACGAAAATGCATTTTTAGGCTAGCAGTTGTAGCGCAAATTCCGTTACGACAAACTTCATGAAATTTGCCAAAGAGTTCACTCTTAGGTGGTTTATGAAACACATAAAATGTAGTCTTGATTTGAGCAACTCCTTGTGTTTAATATTACAACTTATTTTTATTGACAGCTACTAATGCAAATATTATTTTATTGTAAAATAAGTTTAACATTTATGATTTTTATAAAAATATATGCAGATGTCCCACATCACAAAGGTAATCTCGGAATATTTTGAGATTTTTGTACGAAAGCATTGATTTTTAATGAACTTTTTACTTTGTCAGTTTTTCTGTATAGTTGAATAAAAAAGTAAATAATTTTTTTAGAATGTTTTTTAGATATAGAGTAAATATAACATTCCATATGTACCTATGGTGATCTTGAGATTTTTCTACAAATTTTATAAAGTAGCATAGTTTTTTGATGAATATTTGGAGACTGAATTCCGGGACCTGGAAGATGGCGCCGTCCACGGCCTGCAGTCTGCTCTCCCGATTGTTGTTTTTGCTTTTTATTTTCCTGTGTTGCTCTTTGGTGGATAGTAGCTCAAATTTTCGCTATGATCGCCTCACTCTTCTTGAACTTCGGCATAAACTTGGATTTGCCTATCACCGCTGTTCGGATCTAAGACGGTCCCAGCTCTGCTCCTTCGCTCTCGTGGCAAACGCGGGGGTTCCAAAGTGCGGCTCAGAGCCTCCTCCGGCCGTTCGTGCATGGGATGTAAACCTCACCTGTCACCAGAGTTGATACATGGAGATCATCGGACCTTCCGCATTCCATCGCTCTGTCGAAGATTCTCTGGGGAATCCGGTCGCCGGAATGCCTCAACCACCAACCCGTGGATGCACCGGGGCATCAACCAAGCTAAACTTTGCTATCCTACGGTGGCCCAAGCGGCCCAGTCACCTCGGTCAGCTGATTCGGGTCTTCCACCGATCTTTAGGGTAGCTCTCCTAAATGCCTGGTCAATTGGGAATAAAACCCTCATTTTAAGGGATTATTTTTTCCACCATGAGGTGACATTATTCTGCATGAACGAGACCTGGGTTCTTCCTGGTGAGTCAGCTGCACTGTCAGAGCTCTGTTCCTCGGACTGTCAGGTTCTGAACGAGCCCAGGCTCACTGGTCGTGGTGGTGGATTACTAACCATGTTCAGATCCTCTTTCCATCCTAAAAAACTTACTATACCGGTGACTCCAACCAGCTTTGAGTTTATGGCTTTTGAGGTGGACTTTAGTCCTCCGCTGCTGTTTATTCTCTGCTATCGCCCGCCTAAGTACAATTCAAACTTTTTATCAGAATTTTCTGATCTTTTAACAGACTTTCTTCCAAAATATGACTGTGGGATTATTCTTGGGGATTTTAATATACATGTTTGCTGCCCTGACAAGCCTCCTGTTGGTGGCTTTTTAGACATTTTAGATTGTTTTGGTCTCCAGCAACAGGTCCAGTCACCCACCCATTCAGGATCGCACATTTTAGACGGTTTTGTCATTTGGGATCTGTATCTCTGATCTGATTGTTGACTCTGCATGTATCTCTGATCATTCTCCTATTATTTTTAATATCTGTGGCTTGACACCTCCATCCACTAGGCAACATAATCAACACCTTACAAGAATAATTTCCCCTTTCACCACCAATCTATTAGCATCTAGCCTAGCTGCGACTCTATCCACTTCCCAACCTGATTCCACCTGTGTAGGAGTTGAGGAGCTGCTGACCTCTTTCAACTCTACCTGCTCAACTGTTTTAAATGCAGTCGCTCCTCTAAGATCCAGGCATAAAAAAACTGTGGCAGACCCTTGGCTCAATGAGGAGACTCGTGCCCTAAGACGCCAATGTAGGGTCTACGAACGCCAGTGGCGGAAGGACAAGCTGAAAATCTCCTACCAATTATTCAAGGATTCTTTGACCCACTATCAGAAAGCTGTCCTCATGGCTAGAAACAGATATTTTGCAAATATAATCACTAGGCATAAAAATGACCAGAAGAAACTGTACAGTGTCCTCACCTCTGTACTATCCCTTAGAGCAGTGGTTCCCAACCTTATTCCCAAGGGGCCCCGTTTTTTACCAGTAAAATTTTTGACGACCCCCTCCCATTCTCTCTTCCAGTACAAACAGTATTAAGAAATTATAAAATTGTTCAAGCACATTTTAATATGATTTGATTCAATAGATAACAGTAATAGTAGGCTCCAGTACAGAACAAAGTCATTAACAAAACCATACAGAGCGTAATGTGCTTGACAGTTTGTATTACTTTTCTGAACACATTGTTTCTTGTAAACTTGTTCAGACAACGGAGGTCTCCCACTGTTATCCAGGATCAGTTTGAAGCCCACATACTGCCCCTCCCTCATCATCAGGAAACATCAATCCGTATCCTGAGGACAACAGAAGACGGCAGGAGGACAGGAACTCTGAGACCTAGACACCACCAGCACCGGGACCCAAAGCACCTGTGTGCACAACGCCTGTTTAACTACTAAAGCCTGTTTATTATATAGTTCTACTTATTTGCTGTGAGGTTAATACTTAGAAAATGTGTATATTAATGTAAACAATTAAAAAAATCACTGATTGTATGTTTTCTTTTAGATGTAATGGTCCAAACTCAGCCTTGTAGACATTTATTGCATCCTGTAGGTAAATACACAGAACAGGCTCAGGTCCAGGATGACCCAGCATGCTCTTCTTCCATTCTGGCTGTTAGGGATTGTATCAATAACTCAATGCCTACTGATGTTTCCACCTAACGGTATTTATTTAGAATGCAGGTAAGATTTAACTATATTTGTTAGCAAAGCAGACTGATCTTGGGAATTTCACTGCAGCACTGATGTCCACCTCTCTGTACACATTAGAGAGAATTACCACTTTACAGCTAAACACATTTAATAAAGATATAGGCTACGCATTGCAGACAATAAAAACAAAGTTGTAAGCATTAGAGTTATAATGATCACATTAAAGAACACTTGGAGGAATGTTCTTTATTTTTGACTAGAATCTCAAATCTTTAAATTAAAATGTAACTGCTTTTTATCCATTTTCAGCCATTAAGACACCCAATATAAAATAAGACTACTTATAAAATTATTTATAATTGTATGTATGTATATATATAGATAGATAGAGATCTTAATAAAATATATACTTTTAATGGTGTTTTAATGAGCTGTATCATTTTTTAAAACATTTTTTATAGAAATAAATAAGCAAGCAGCATTCCTTGTGTGTGTGTGTGTGTGTGTGTGTGTGTGTTGCGCGCGCGCGCGTGCCTGCTCGCTTGTCCCTCCGTCGGCCGTGACGTGTGTGTGTGTGTGTGTGTGTGAGTGACTACAGACAAATGCATGAGAGAGTTAGCAGCCTTGAAACAGCCTGATGAACAACTCTCCCCACATGTTTTAAAAATGCTAATATAATGTTTCTGCTATGCTAAATAATGATTTCTCTATAGAACTACAAAGTCCGACTGGGGGAGGAGAGTACAGGTCTGCACTATGGAGGGGGGCGGAGTTTACAGCTCCTCCTCCAGATTTAAAGAGACAGTACCCAAAAACGGCTCGTTAAGACTCTCCTCAGAACAGGGGTAGATGAGAGTCTGTAGAGCAACAATAATGAGGAATTCAGACCAAAGAACTGCAGCTCGACTGTATTTAGACCCCCAACTGAAGGATTTAGATGTAAAAAGGAATAACTTAAAAGCATGTTATGTCTCCTTTAAGTTATACCAAATAAGTCTACTTGTTGAATTTAATAATGATTTATTTATCAGTATATTCACACATTAATAACTGTATATATAACCAAGACGGCTGTGAGCACACGTGTGTGTGTGTGTGTGTGTGTGTGTGTGTGTGTGTGTGTGTGTGTGTGTGTGTGTGTGTGTGAGTGTGTGTGTGTTCCTCACTGCCGTGAAAAAGAAAGAGTGAGCTGCCATATCTTCAGTCAGAGGCAACGTTTACGTCTTAGCATCCAAAATGATAATGAATCGTGCATGTGAGAAACCCTCGCTGGTTGATTCTACCCGCCAATCGGAGGCTCCCCCTAATGGTAGGCATGTATTTGAGCTGGCCTATCAGTCGGAGTGGGAATGTAGGCTTGGCCCAGCCCTTAGCGGACCACCAGAGGATAAGGGTTGAAAAACCGCCCAGTAGGATAGGGAACCACGTCCGACCCCCCAGGTACGAAAACCATACGCAATGCGGGCCGGGCTTGGCTGAGCGGTACCAGATGTGAAACCCCTATAAAAATGCATTATACAGGCCATTTGATCTTATTAGTTTCATTCATGAAAATTTCACAACCTGAAAGCAGATATGCACACAAAACATCACGATAAATCTTAAGCAACAATCAGACCAGAGGTTCCAGGGTTACTCAGATGTAGTTTCTACACGAGTTTCTGTGTTCCTGGTGCTCCCCTTACCCTCTCATGCATGGGGGACACCTGATCCTCCTCTGTGTTGCAGGGCGAGGTGTCACTGGTTGGCACCCTGATGACAGCCATCTCAGCATGACCTTTGCCCTGTGGTCCCTTCATCCTTACAAACTCCATGTTGTTGTACTTGTAGAAGCCAAAGGACATTCGCTGGGCCATCTTAGCAGCAACACTCACCTGCAGAACCATAATACACACGAGCACAAAGTCACTACCTTTTTTAGATATGTTGCTACACCAACACATCTGGGTCAAATTGTTTCATTGTCTTCTAAACAGGTCAAATAAAAAAAACTAATGAAAATAAATATACAGGTCCTTCTCAAAAAATTTGCATATTGTGATGAAGTTCATTATTGTCTGTAATGTACTGATAAACATTAGACTTTCATATATATTAGATTCATTACACACAACTGAAGTAGTTCAAGCCTTTTATTGTTTCTAATATTGATGATTGTGGCGTACAGCTCATGAAAACCCAAAACTCCTGTCTCAAATAATTAGCATCTTTCATCCGACCAATAACAGAAAAGTGGTTTTAATACAAAAAAAGTCAACCTTCAAATAATTTTGTTCAGTTATGCACTCAGTACTTGGTCGGGAATCCTTTAGCAGAAATGACTGCTTCAATGCGGCGTGGCATGGAGGCGATCAGCCTGTGGCTCTGCTGAGGTGTTCTGGAGGCCCAGGATGCTTCGATAGCGGCCTTAAGCTCATCCAGAGTGTTGGGTCTGGCGTCTCTCAACTTTCTCTTCACAATATCCCACAGGTTCTCTACGGGGTTCAGGTCAGGAGAGTTGGCAGGCCAGTTGAGCACAGTAATACCATGGTCAGTAAACCATTTACCAGTGGGTTTGGCACTGTGAGCAGGTGCCAGGTCGTGCTGAAGAATGAATTCTTCATCTCCATAAAGCTTTTCAGCAGATGGAAGTGTAGGAGTGGTAAATGTGGTGCTTTAAAAGCTTACTGTATTACCTTTACTTATGACCAATAAGCTGTGATACTCTATATATAAATATAGAATATCAACCTGCTTGGTCTTTGGATGTTTAATCAGAAGATTCTAGGACTCTTTATTTATGCTTTATTTATTCTCTCCTTCAGATGTTTTGAGTAAGAGCCGCTGTCACCTATTTGAAGCAAAATAAGGAATATAATCCAGTAATGGCTGCACCGAAGCAGATTAAAAGTTCGAGCCGAATGGCTACTCGCAGCAGCCCTGAGGAGGAAGGGGGCGAGGCAGCTGCCCCGCCTGACCTGGCGAAGCTACTCACTGAAGTTTTCAAGATGAGTGGCACACTCCAAAGTGTTGCCAGCAATGTTTCTACAATAAAGCAGACAACAACTGAGCTGAATGCAAAGGTGGTGGCTATGCAAGAGAGGATCACAGAGGCTGAGACCCGCATTTCCTGCTTGGAGGACACCTGGGAGCGGCTACACACTGATGACGGGGAGAGAAGCGAACAGGTGGACGCTATGCAGGCGTGCATCCAGGGCCTCGAAAACTACAGTAATAGGAACAACATGAGAGTTATTGGGCTGAAAGAAACTGTTGGTACTGGTGGGACACTGCTGGAATGTGTTCGGAGGATGCTTGTTGAGGGCCTGGGGTGCGTGATGATGTAGAGTTTGAGATTGAGCATGCTCATCGCGCCTTTGCTCTGCTCCCAGACCGAGCTCCAAGACCAGTGCTTATACGCTTCCTGAGGCAGTCAGCGAGGGATAAAGTAATTATGACAGGCAAAAAGAAACGCGGGTTTGATTGGGAAGGATATCGGCTGTCTGTGTTTCCCGATTTGGCCAAGGAGCTGGCGGAAAAAAGGAAGGCTGTTACAGCCGTGAAACGAAGGCTTCAGGAGCGCAACGTCAAATACACCCTGGCGTTCCCGGCAACACTACGTGTAAAATGGAAGGGGGGAAAATGTAAGCTTCAACTCGGCAAAGGCAGCGGAAAAGTTTTTCAGCAACGAGGATGAGCAGGAGAACAGGGCACAAGGAGGGAAGACCCCAAAATCGACTGATTGATGACGTAATCTCGAGGAGCCTGAGACATCTGGTGTCTGACTGTCGGAGGGGGCAGATCCAGTGTTGCCAACTCAGCGACTTTGTCACTGTTCCTAATGACTTTTTGACCCCCCCCTCAATGACTTTTTTTCCAAAAAGCGCCTAGCGACAAACCTAGCAACATTTCTCAGGACCCGTTGCTACTTTCTGTAGAACTTTCTTGTAGATATTCCCCACAGATTAGCAACAAAGAAACCGTTTGCACTCTGAACCGTTCTTCCGGGAGTAAGGAAAGAGAACGATAATCTGCGCATGTGCACGAGGACCGACCAATCATAAACCGTTTTCGGCCGGGCTGATTCGCTGAAGACAAAGGTACAGCTGCAGAGCTGGAGACCGCCGATTTACTTCTGCTGCTTTCATATTGCTGCAGGCTCACGCTTCTACTAGAGACGGCGCGGGCGTCAACCTGCCATCTCTGGTTCTGCAGCCGTCAGACACTTTGGCTTTTCCTGCATTTGGCAAATAAAGTCATCGGGAGTTTCAACCACCGTCCCGTTTACACACGCAGCTCTGTGGCTCATCTGAATTTCCTTCAGTGACACAGGGATGGTTATACTTTGAGACACCCGCTCCCTTTTGCTCGGTGCGCCGTTATTATCACGATGGAGAGAATACACAACAGAGAAGTTGAGAAACTATGAGGTGTAAAAAAACAGCTTTTTAGGAAAATGTCTGTGAGAATGAGGAGAGCAGGAGGTCTGAGTTCTATCCTACAACAGAACTGGTTGGATCACCACACCATATCTGTCCTAATGCCACTTTATTGGTACTTTTGGAATTTATTGTACATATCAAAGCAATTTAGGCCATTTTAATCATACTAATTAATAACTTTAACATATAACATAGTTTTTATTTCCCTCCCTTTTAGTCACATATATATTTATATAGCATCTTTTAGATGCTATTGGGGAAATGAACACCAATGTGGCGTGATGACGTCATCAATATGTAAATCAGCACGTGACTTCATCTGGCGACATCTAGCGACTTGTGGGGGTAACTTCAGCTACTTTCAGTCAAAAGCAGTTAGCAACACTGGGCAGATCTCATCATCTGTCATCTTAGGAGGGGAGAAGCAGAGCAGCATCCTACGGACCCGGTAAGGTTTTTGTTTAGGCCCTGTTCATGGGAATGTTTTTTTTATTTATGTTTTTAGTTTAGTTTAGTTTAGTTTATTTGTCATATGCAAGTTAGCACAGGGTCAACATTGCAATGAAATGTGTTTGACGAGCAGCGGTCTCTCAGCAGCATAATACAATAGAAAAAAGAACAAGGTATAATACAGTAAAAGCAAAATATTAGAGAGTCATGCTAAAAGTAAAAGCTTACTAAATAGATAAGTAAATATAGATGACTAAATATAAATATATCCAAAAAAAAGTGAGTAGTAACATTAAAATGAAGTAACCAGTGCAGGTTAAATTTTACTTGTGGCTGTGTGCACCCATACAGTGGGTCTTTTCTTCAGGGGAGGAAAGGTTTATTTTGTCTAGCATGGTTGCGGGTTTAAATCATATTGAAACTTACAATTGGAAATGACAGGGAAATATGTAAAATGTATATCTTGGAATATTAATGGGTGTAGAAATCCAACCAAAAGGCGTAAATTACTATCCTATTTAAAGTCAATACAAGCTGATATATTTTTTCTTCAAGAAACCCACTTAAATGATGGCGAAGAACTGAGGTTCAAAGGTGGTGGGGTAAATCATATTTTTGATAGTTCCTATTCAAGTGCTCGCAATGGGGTAGTTATACTTATTAAAAGAAGTATTCGATTTTCATTGATTAAAGAAGTTAAAGATACAGGAGGAAGAATGGTATGTGTCCAAGCTCTGGTAGAGGGAGTAAAGCTAATATTGTGTAACATCTATGCCCCCAATAAAGAAGACCCTCATTTTTTTCATTGGATAAACAGGGTATTGGGAGATATGGAAGGACAAATACTAGCAGGTGATCTGAATGAAGTAATGGATCCTGTTTTGGATAGAAGCTCATCTAAAGGCCCAATTAGTTCTAAGGGAAGAGAAGCAGTTCATACGTTAAGGGACGATATAGGCCTAATCGATGTGTGGAGGATAATTAATCCATCAAAAAGGGAATACACGTTTTACTCTCATTGCTACAAATCTCATTCTAGGATGGACCTGTTTTTGATTTCTAAATCTATGTTATCTAATGCAATAAGCTGTGATATAAAAACAATTTCACTGACTGATCACGCAGCGGTTGAACTTAGCATTAAACTAGGACTGGAGAATAAAAGAGGTTCAAGGTGGAGGGTGAATGTCTCACTTTTACAGGATAAACCATTTAAGGAGTGTTTGGGTGAAGATCTTAAACATTTCTTTTAAGTAAATATTGGCAGTACGGAATATATTCAAAGTGTTTGGGAAGCCTCTAAGGCTTATGTAAGGGGCAAATTGATAGCATACGCTTAAAAAAAAGATGGTGACCTTAGGATTCAAGAATTGGAGAAGGAAAATAAATTGAGAGAAAACATTCTGTCTATTAAGTATAGCTAATTAATTTATAGAGACATCTGTGGGCTTAAGTTTCAGTTAAATGAAATATATAATAAGAAAGTGGAATACTCCTTGTTTAGATTAAAAACTACATTTTATGAGGGAGGTGAAAAAATGGGGGAGGTACTAGCAAGACAAGTTAAAAAGGAGGATTACTCAAACAATATTCCTGCTATTAAACAAGGTAATTCTTTGGTAACCTCAGAAAAAGATATAAATAATGTATTTAAGGAATCTCCTACCATCTTTATGCAGATGACATCCAACTGTACATCTCCTTTAAGCCCCATGAGATGTCTAAGCTGCAGCTGTTACACACCTGCTTAGACTCTATCAAAACCTGGATGGTGGGAGCTTTCTTCAGCTGAATGAAGATAAGACTGAGATCCTCATCTGTGCCCCAGACAAGCTGGTTCCCAAAGTCAGAGACTCTCTTGGTCAGCTTGCTTCTCACACCAAACCTTCTGTCAGGAATCTTGGCGTGACCTTTGACCCAGCTCTCACCCTGGATTCTCATGTCAGTTCTCTTGTTGGCTCTTCCTTCTTCCATCTCAGGAACGTTGCTAAGCTGAGTCCCAT